GGTGTCGTCTAAAAGCAGAACTCCACTGGGAGCCAGAGGAAATATGAAATTCCATGTGGATACAACAGATAGTAGAGAAGACAATGGACACTCGGTCACTTCAAGTGGACACTGAAACAGTTGGACAACAAACAAACGTTACATTTAAAACGACCGTGAGTGAACGGTGGCTAGAACTTTATGTTCCTGCTGCAGATTTGGGTTTTTTTTGTTTTGTTTTTTTCTATTTATTTCTACTTTTACTTTCAATAAAAAAAGTAATGAAACCAAACATCAGTTTGGTCAGTCTGTGGATTAGTGGTCAAATAGTTGATAGGAATGCAGTTCGAATCCTGATTGCATAAAAAACTGTCATACAACATAAGGCCCGTGGGCCAAAGCCGGCCCGCTGGGGAGTTCAATTTGGCCCGCTTGATGAAGTGGTTGGTGTTTGATGTTTGATCAAATTATAGTTCATTAAATATGGAGATTTTTAAATAGATTTGTACTTATTTCCATAAAAACAAAGGAGAAAAACACAGACTGCCTTAAAGGATTATTGGAGCACATACAAGACTTAAAATGAAATTAATAAAAAAGACAAAAACACATTAACATTTGGCAAAAAAAAAAACAAAAAAATAAAGCCCATACAGAGTTCTTTCAGAACCTTCCTTTCAGACAGCATCAGAAATGCACACATATCATCTGTGTGACTATAAAAAGGGGGGGGGGGGGGGGGCAGAGTCAGTCTGTCAGTCTGATACAGTCTGTTTAATGGACGGCTGCTGTGATCAGAATCAGAATCAGAATCACAGACGTCTGTTTATTTTCATGGAACGATGAAACCTCATATCAGGCCATTTGGGAACGGGGGGGGGCGCAGGAGGGGGGGTGAGAACTGGACGGTCACAGAGGGGGGCCACGAAGGCGAATTCCCCTCAGAAAATTACATCATTAACAATGTTGTATAATTTATTAGTAATAATTTGTTAATTTATTTCTGTGTTTTTGTTTGGTTTTTTTTGGTTGTGTAACATTTAAAAAAAAAAACTGCAGTTTTGTTCCTGTGCCCAGCGGTGTATTTGTAGTACTTTCTGACTCTTCAGTAACATTTTTGTCACAGCTGATTTATTTTATAGATTATAGATTATAGATTACTTTAAAAGTCATTTGGACTCAAACTGGAAAACGATGAGTGTCTAAAACCCCAGACTGACGAGTTTGAAATTCTTATCACAAAAACATGACGCAGTCATTTGACCAGAGCACATTTCAACTTCAGATGTCAGACCTCAAGTCACTGAAAATAATCAGTGGAAATAATGATAACTAAAAACAGCAAATACACACTTCAAAAACTGCTCTTTTCTGATAGAGCGCAATGCACTATGGGAAAACATACCGTCTTTTACGGCCACTGAAATAACTGTTATGGTTCAAAATGATCGAGCCCAGGTGTTCTGTCTCTCTGCCACCTAGTGGTCTTGGGAGGAAACTGGACTGCTGGACTTGTGTTGAATGACTTACAGATGACTGAAGGAGTGAAATGTTGCAGCTGTGCAGTGTCACCGACACATATATGTATATGAAACACATGTAGAAAAGACTGTTGGAAATACAGTTTTCAACCTGTTTGAATCCTGTTTTTGTCATTTTTTATTTCATCGTACTACCAACATCCACAACGTGTATCAGCTGTCTGCATTAATTATATATATATACAACATATATATGTATATATTGATATACAATATATATGTATTTCATGCATTTCGCATAAAATAAATATATAGTCAAATGATGAAATGTAAAAATAGTATAAATGTTTATTTATATATACTGTATATTATATATATTATATATGTGTGTATATATTGTGTATATATTGCACCATAGAATCTTCTTTCTTCTACCTGTCACCACCAAGTGCCTCTGTGTTTCACAGCAGCGAATAAATCAACTGAATCATAAACATGAGGGAAATAAATAAACCCCTAACCCCCACCCCC